TGTGGAAAAAATAAGGTCGTTTTGGTGAAGGGGAAAAACTTCGATGACAAACAGAAAAAGTTCAATAAAACCATAACTATCTTGATTTTTAGAAAACGAGACTTCATATCTCCGAGACACCAAGACGGCCAGATTCTAGTACGCCGATCGATATGTACCCGTTTTGTCTATGCAAACGCCTTGAGCAACAAAGATTGGTTGCTAGTTTGCAACCACGTATGTTAACTGTTATTTTGAGTTGGGTCTACTAGAATGTCTGAGATATGTTCCGGTATTACACAAGCGCACCAATGTATCTCCGAGATCCCCAAATGATCATACTGCGAAAGGCACTAGAAGTAATATCAGTCTTACTACCATAAACACTCTTAGTAATCAAAAATTACAGAGAATACCTGCAGACTGAGGAGTAGCATGATATCAGTAATGGTAACCGGAATCCCCGTTAGTGATGCGATGTTCGTCCATGTCAATGAAAGGAAATTTGATTGTTGGCCGCTCAGATGGGTAATAATCATTAAACAGAACTCATTGCCGCAGAAAGAATACAAAATATTCGAATGGTCTCCGAAAGAGAACCAGAGCGAGTCCCAGTTCAGATAAAACAATGCCAAACCAGGGGCATTTCATTCTCATGAGTATAAGACTATTATGCAATAAATCAGTATGAGCAAATCGGTCCCAGATTCTCAGTTATGGGAGTCACGATGCAAGTATGCTCCCGGTAGGATGGACATATTATGGACCGAGGTAACAAGGAAGTTGATAGTTGGAAAATTTGATGAGGTGGGCAGAACTAAGATTTTGAAAATCCATGACCAAAGATAATCTTATGCACATAGGTAGACATTTTCTCAGAGTTAGTTAGTTAGTTAGTTCCTGGCGTTACGATGGTTTTCATCATGCGACTATCTCACTCGAGTACCAAAATACCCATTGAAAGAAGAACTCAATAGGAAAATAAGATTTCTCTAGGGGACCCAAGGGAAGACCAGCGTTGACAAACGACGCCTATAACATATCCATATACGCCAGTGAAAATGCAGTAAGCTTATAAATCGATGTGTCCATATTTTGCAGATAACAAAGGGATAAAACCTTGTAACATTTCACACATTAAATCGATTATCAATATCATGAAAGAACAAACGACGAAAGTATCAAAAACAATAAAAGTTCAATGCTCAAGGTAGTGAAATACCACACTAACTTCTGTGATCCCGAGTTGATGAAGTCGCTCTGTGTTGCATGGTCTGACCGAATGATGATCGAATGGGTCTCGTAACGACAACCAATCCAGCCGAATTCTGCCAATTGAGCGCAAGAAAATGAGGAAGAATGACGAAAAACAAGGATATGATACGGTTCGTGATTTGAAACTTGACATCACCAATAATGCTTTCTAGACATGCCATTCTCCAATCCAGTTTGTTCAATACTCATTCAGAATCATCAGCCATCATCTTGGCTTATCGAATTCGGAGGTTTGTTTTGATGTAACTTTTCGTACTGCTCCGTATCATTTCAATCGGATTCAACGATGGAGAAGTCTGAGAGTGCTCACTTTTCCCCCGGCAACCATGTGTTCCAGTTTAGAGTGACAGGTTGCATTGTTACACAATCATATATGATTTGTTTTTCTTGCAACAATTGATCAAGGAGCGTTTGCAACACAAACGGAGTTGTGAGATTCTCTTTTTAGAACAAAGTTGAATAACCTATCCATATTCATAGCACACAATATGCTCCGATTTCTTCCCCTTGAACAGATCACTGGTACTAGATACCGTTGACCTCCGGTGCCCAAGCAGCTGACCTTGTGAGACTGATCTGTCTGGCCTCTACCCGTTGACCTTTCAGGCATGATTGAATCTGTGGCTGTGAGGAGCCATCCTGTATAGCTGGCAGGGTCATTAAGGCACGCGAGCGATTACACCACGCCAAGGTGCAGTCTCATAGTGATGGTTACACACACGAACAATCGTCATAAAACATCACGGTATCTGAATCGCTTTGTTCCGACCGCAATTACCGCATGAAATGTCACAGTAATTTTTCATTAAGGAAAAATGGTAACTTGGGGGCCACCACGCGACAACTCACTTAATTTCTAAGCGGGGCAAATGTAGGATTGGACAAACACCATCGTACTTCGAGGCAGTGTAATATAGTATGTCCAGATCACCTTCAAGGCGGAAGTTCGCTGAAAAATGAAAAGGGCAAGATAAACAATTCTTGAGTTCACAATGATAAATTCCTGTTTGTAGCACTGTCCTAGTGCGCCACTGACTGTTGACAATATTCAGATCTATGTAGGGAGAAAACAGGGTGGGGATTTGGTACCAGAATGTTGTATGAGGGCTTGTCAGTCATCACAACCACAACTACTACGACAGGCCCGAGCGTAAATGTGTTGAGCATGCCAAGTTCATCACTGATGAATTCAGAAAGGGTGCGCACATCATTGCGCTTATGCATTATGAACACATATTTCTATGACAAAGTTATTTGAAGTTCAACTCAGTTTCTGCAACCATCAACCATGCACTATCGTGCGCCGGTTTTCGTTGCCCATTTCAATGAGCATAAGGAGAGAGATAGGAAAGGTTGAGAGTAGAATCAAACAGAAAATTTAGGATTTCATTGCACTGATTATGCACACAAATCGATAAGATGCACCAACGCCACTGTTTGCGAGATCCAATCATATCACTCAGGGTGTCTAAACA